CTGATGATATATTGTTCCCTTGGCCCCTCACCCAGCCCTCTCTCTCTGGCCATCCCCACAGATCCTCACTCCAACAAGCCGGACATCGCCTTCGGACTTTCAACATCAAGACTTGGCTCACTTACGGCCATTAAAATCGAGTCCTGCTTCAACCTTTCTACAACACAACCATCTCGGATATCAAACCGCCCACAATGGTCTGCCTTACAGGGCCATCGTTCTTCCAACGCAAGACGAGGGGGGATGCACTGGATGGTGTCAACTTTGCTATCAAAAGCATCAGCGGCCCGATCATGATCGAGGAGCCGACATTCAACACACATGCACGACTTCACAGCATGACGAGCACCAGCTCAAGATCTTCAACAGATTCTGACGACTCGGCCAGAGCATTCAACCCACTGCAATCACACCCTCCGCTTCAGATCAACGCTTCGCCTGTTGCCGAAGCTCGATCCGAGCGTCTGCCATCAAGAGATGGACCTGCTAGCCACTTGCACTTTGTCGAGTTCTCATCACTTGACAACATGGACTCGGACGAATCGAGACCCGCATCTTCCCGGAGGATGACCTACGTCTACGACCAAGGCTCGCAGTGGCCTCTCAAAGACTGGCAGACAATCCCACCCGGGCTCGCTGATGCACCAGAAGCCACCGAGTTCTCCACGCCACTTCGGCCTAGGCCAGCAACTCATCAGCGCCGGCCCACAGAATGGATGAATGAGTCCGACAGATTCGTCAAGCGTGGCTCGTGGAAGCGACGGGGCATCATCTTCGGCCCAGATGCCTCCAGCGACGAGGAAACACAGCGGCACTTCGAGCTTCCTGAGTGATGCTCACAACGAGAACTTTTCCTTCTTTCTGTTTCACACCCGCCACTACCCCAGGCAATTTCATCCAGCTTGCCACACTCTTTTTTCTTTGTCACAATACTATGTAATACGACTTTGGCGTCTAGTTGGTTTTCCTTTGAGCATTTTCAACAGCATAGCATACAGCGGGGCAGCCAACACTGGCACATGGGAACAACAGGCGCACTGAGCGAGGAGGGGTTGGCTTCATTCACCCGCACCAGGATTTCCTTGTTTTTTTATGATACCACTTTGCGATTTCGAGCAATCTTGTTAGCTTTGCTTATCAAATTTCACCGTACAAGATTCCTAAATACACAGGCGATTTTTCTATGCCTGTGGATCACACTCTCTCGTTGGCCGACGCCAGGGTGTGACATGTGCACCTAATTTCGGTGATGCTCGCCCTGGCCGTGAAGAAATTCACCACAGAAATTGATTGGGGAGAATAAAAAGCAAAGGGTCATTGACACCGCAGGGACGAACCCTGCCGTCGGTCCCTGCCCTTCCGTGCACAATGGATCCTACAAGTGATTGTGTGTACCTGTCTGTGCACACCTTGCATGAGAGTCGAGGACAGCTTGGGCAGCCTAAGAAAAAAAAGAATTCTCCGGGCATCGCCGACCCCACACGACAATATCGAATCGTGTCGACCCCTGGCTCGCCAGCTTGTGCACCCTGGTGCCCGACGACGCCATCGTCACGATGACAGGCGACGCCAGCACAGCACAGCACAGCATGTGTCAAGATGAGTGTCGATCCCTTGACCGGGCGCGTGGGCCGAGGACACGATGGGGTCAACTTGGGCACCAAGGAATTCCCGCCCGTCAGCCGTGCAGATTCATGTCATGCTCATGGTATTGAGATTAAGCCCCCCCTGCTGTTTCCCTCAGCTGTGAGGAAATCAGCCGCCCATAATGTTGCATCGAAGCTCAGCTGCTGGGTGGCCTGTAGGGTAATCCTCGAGGTCTAGAGCCTCTCTCATGGATGCACACGCACACGTCCCTCTGGTCTTGCAGCTCGCAGCGCCGGACCAGCTAGCTCCGGAGGCGTGTAAGCGTTGCCCTCTTTCTCCGTAGTTGCCAGCCGCAGCCGGCGACGCCGGCATGCCCGTCTCGGGGCGAGGGCAACAACAAACAAACTTTGATGGTTCGCAGAGGAAACCCGCAGCCGCCTGCCGGGAAGGGGGAGGAATAAGCTGACACTGTTGCCATTTGGCGCTGGCGTCTCTTTTCGAGAAAAAAATGGGCATTGTCATCTGTCTTGTCCTTTGTTGTGACATGAGGGGGAGGTACGGGGCTAGGTGTAACTCGGAGGTGGTGTTTGTGCTTAACTCTATTCTCTATTTGCCCTCTCCACCAGAACACACAAAGTCAAAGACAGGCGATGCAGGCCCGGGCTGGGCTTGGCTACTGACACTGCGATACGGTCGGGAGGGTGGCCACAGACCAGGAGGTGTTCCTGACAGCGGCGCGGTGCGGCGCGCGGGGAAGAGTCCACTATTGGGTCCGGAATCAATCACACTTTCTCTCACTCTTTCTCTCACTCTTTCTCTGCGCCCCCGGCTTTGTGTATTCTGTTCAGCTGCCCAGCTGGATCGGCCTGGATATGTCGAGACCCGAGGGGCGGAACGGACGGGCTGGGCTACTGCATGCACTCCGCAGTCTTATTGCTCGCGCTAGTGGTTCATGGGTGCCCGTGCCGTGGTTACTCCAACAAGCTCGACAAGGTGCTGAAGGAAGAGGGAGCGGAGGACGCGGCGGCGGTTGAGCGTGTCTTGGGTACCTGGGGCTAGCCTCTTCTGGGGGAACCCCGGGCGAGATGCTCACTGTTGAGAAGCGGCAAGGGCGAAGGAGGCTCTGGACTGAGACATGCCACTGTGACAGTGGCTTGGTTTTCAGCTGTTGTTGTTATCGTTGTCCGGAGCCCTGATTACGCTATTGTTGGTCCGCTGTGGGGTGGATGGAGGAGTGTAGTTGAAGCCTGCTTTTTGCTCGCCTCTCTCTTTCATCCTACTAACGGGGAAACTGGTGTGCGACCAGAGTTTGTCGAGAGGCGTGTGCTTTCATGCAGGGCAACTTGTGTAGGCAGTGTCCTGCGCCGCAATCTTGCCACTCGCACATCGGCCTGTCGGAGGCTGCGGAAGTGCATGAACTATCTCCCGCGAAGATGTGGCACTACCGCACAAACCTTCACTCACGTGTCTCTCCTTACTCACAAGTCTTTGTTCTTTCAGCTCGTCACTCTTGCTAGTAGCTCTCCTTCACGGATGCGACGGGTCCAGTCTGCACGCACTAACGATTATGAAAAGGGCCAGACCGTCGTGATGTCTACTCGCATCTCGCATCTCGGAGGGAGGAAGCGGAGGACAAAGGTCTCGATCTCAAATTAAACTCACAGCACACTATTGTGCCGAACAAAGACCTCCTGACATCGGGCAATTTCCCACACCGACAATAAGCTGGCCGTCCCGCGAGGAGTAGAGTTTAGTCCAGTGCTAGAGCGTAAACGGCTCCGGCCGCACCGGGAAGGGAGCTTCTCCCTTGCCTCGGACGATGTGCCAGAGTCTCGCGATAAGCTGAGGGGCAGTCTATCGCATGATGCGTGAATGGGGACATGGTCTGTGGGGTTGCGTGAATCGGTGTGAACCAGGTCTAAAGTGCATGCAGCATCGAGACATGAGGTGACTGCAAGTGTGGACAATGGACTGGTGGTTATTCGGTCGTAGGCCGTGGGTGGGGTGGACGTCTGTCTCAGTTGCCCTGCAAAATGAGACATCACCGAGAAGTCCCGCCAGGCACAGGTTCATGCACGCACTAAGACTACGACAACAAAGCAAGGGACGACGACTGGGGCTTGAGGCTGCAGAAAGGACTAGTGCCTGCCCGAACGGCTGCCCTGTTGTTTGAGACTGGGATTTAGTTCGGAAGCGGTGTATCGCAACGATCTGCAGGAACAGGTTTTCAGTGCTTGCATATCGGTGTCTCACTCACTCACTCCGTGATGCTACCAGTTGTCGCCGGTCGTAATCTCGGGACCCGTTGCTGTCTCCCGATATGCTTCGATGGTTGCCTGTGACGTCCATCAAAGGGACAAGCAAGACATGCGTGGGCGTTTCCCAATCATGGTTGCAAGCACAAAATATATGAACGGCAGAGAGATCAACAAACAGCGGTTCCCAGATCTAGGTCCTGGCGGTCCGAGACACTGCTGTCTCTCATGGATGACAGTGAGGGCTAGTTCCTGCATTGGTGCCCTTTCACGATATGTGGCACACGGGGGCTCCTCGCCCGGCCTGGGACGATCCGCCGTCTACCAGCAATGACATGCAGCGATGCCATGAATCGTGTGTAGGACGGCATGGCTTTAGCATCGGACTTTGCGAGGGACGCCCACTGTGGTGTCATACATGTCAATACCTAAGCATTGTCAATTGTAGCGCCATGTATGCCAATAACCTGGGAAAATCTTCCGGATCCTCGCTGATCCATGTATAGACGTCAGCGTATCTAAGAAGTCACCCGGCAAGGAAAGTTTATGGTATCATGGCACGCACGTTGGAAGCTCTAGCCGCCTCGTATAACACAGCCTGTAAGCTTTGTGTGTGCGCAATGGCTGGACTGTAGTGAGCCTGGCTGTTGGGTCCGAGAGATTCTCGAACCCCCGAGCCTGATACATTCATCCTCTCTTCCCGTTGTTTTTCTGAGCTACTTGGGCTGTCTTCCGTGGGAGCATTGCAGCCGCCATACGAAGCAGATACTCTTCCTTATATATAGGTTCTCGAGACAGCAAATTTCATGTCGTGGCGCACATGTGGAACTGATCATCCGTGAGGAATGGTAACCACGCGACTAACATAACCCCAGTTTCTCGTAGCAACCCCGAAGAACGGAAGAGGCGGAGGTATATATAAGTAGTGCATATATTTCCGTTGCATATCCAGAATAGGGGGCTTGCAAATAAGTCATATCTTCGTGGAAGACTCCAAGATCCGTCTTGTCGCCAGACAAGCACCCTCGTGGCACCTGGGGTAACAAAGACAGACGATCCATCCCACTCACCCCCTTTCCCCCATTATCAAAACGGAGCAAGAAAAACACAAACCAAACAGACCTTGATCTCCCCCTTTGTACGTGGAGCAAAAGGGAAGGGTCTGGCCGGGGATTGAACCCGGGACCTCTCGCATGCTTTGGCAAGCCATCGTGAGAACCTTTCGAAGGAAAGGAGCATACCGACTTTGAATTCAGGGTGGACCCTAAGCGAGAATCATACCACTAGACCACCAGACCGGTTGTTTGATGAGCGTCGTCGATGCTTAGAGACAGTTCTGTAGTTGTGGTCCAGGACAGCTGCCAGTCGTTTGGCAAGGACAATTTTCTTTTTCCTTTTTTTTTTTTTCTTTCGATGCGAGTGGAATATGAGATGGTGAGCTAGTAAAGGCAAGGCTTCCAAGGTTGTCGTGAATCGCCAGAGGTCGCAACTTGGACGGGTACGCAGTGTAGAGGTAGAACCATTGTGATAAGCAGAGCTTTCCGTCGTAGCGAAGTATATTCCCCTGGTCTATGTAGCGTCTGCCTTTGAAAATCTATATGCGCTGATGAAAACCCAAGATCCAACAAGGGAAGAAGCAGTGCGTGTGAGGAAAGGGAAAACGCCCTTGCAGCAACCGGCCATACGAAGACATCTTGTCATGCCTAGCCGTTGTCTGCTCATCATGCTCTCTAGCCACGTCTATCACCAGTTTTCCACCTCTTATGCGCCCCCCGCCCGTCGTCGCGAAATGCAACCTCTCTTTAGTCAAAGTCAACAAAACCCGCCTGCGACGAAACCAAGTCTATCATGTAAAGATCGCTGAACAATGAGGCTCGAGATGAAGGCCTCGCAAAATCGCGTCACATTTTCAGAGGAAAATGAAGGCGGAATCACTCGTCGTCGTCCGAGTCGGGCGGGTGCGGTGTGCCCTTGGCACTGCTGAGCCACTCGATGTGTCGCAGACGGCGGCGGACCTCCTGCTCCTTGAGCTCCTTCTTCGTCTTCTTCTTCTTCTTGCGCGCGCGGAAGTTCAGCGGCGAGTTATCCTCGACGCCGCTGTTGACAGCGCTCGTGGCGGCGCTGCTGGCGACTGTGCTGGCGACTGTGCTGGCAAACGGGCTGCCGGGCTTGCTGTCCTCAAAGCGATCCATCGAGATGGCAGCCTGGCCCTTCATGGTCATGCGGCCGTCGACAATGTGCCACTGCTCGCTGGCGAGCGCGCCCACGAATTCCTCGTTGTGAGAAATCATGACGACACCGCCCTTGAAGTCGCGGATGGCAACAGCGAGGCCACCGAGAGAGTCACGGTCCAAGAAGTTAGTCGGCTCGTCAAGGACCAGCAAGTGGGGGTTGTTCCACATGGCACCGGCAATGACGACCTTGACCTTCTGACCTCCAGACAGACTGCCAATCTCATTGTGATTGGCGATCTCTGGGTCGAGACCCAGGTCGTCAAAGTGCTTGGAGATTACCGAGGGCTGGAGCTCACGGTAGCCGAGACCCTCGCGGGACGCCTCGTGGTCGTCGAACTCCTGGACCAGCTTGTCGAAACCCCATTCGGAAAGGGTCTCCCGGGACACCTGGGAGTTGTACTTGGGGAGCCAGGCTTTCCATTTGCTATGCGGCGAGTTAGTCAATGCCTAAGCGACTTGGGGCGATTTCTTTGCACACTTACACTTCATACTGGAAAGTCTTCTTGTACTTCTGCCTTCCGACAAGGGCCTCGATCTGGCGGCCACCCTTGCCATCGCCAAGGTCAATGACCTTGTCCATCTGCTCCTTGTCCTTGTCAGACAGAATGCGAGTCTGCTTGAGGAACACTTCGCGGTCATCGCCGTTGGCATAACGCCACTGGAGGTACTGGTTGGGGGTCTTCTCCAGATGCATCTCAACGTGCTCGAGAGCATGCTGCTTGATGTATCCGATACGCAGGTTGGGGTGCTTCTCAACCTTTCCAGTCGTGGGGATGACCTCGCCCGTGAGAATCTTGATGAGCGTCGACTTGCCTGCACCGTTAGGTCCAATCACGGCAACTCGCGAGGAGAGCGTGAGCTGGCAGGTGACATCGCTAAGGGACGGCTTGGGGGCCTTCGGGTACTGGTACGAGACGTTGGTCATGCGGATGATGGCACGGGTGTTGGACTTGACTCCAGACAGAATACCCGGGGGAGGGAACTTGAACTGCACGTTGGAGGCAGACAGCGTGTAGTACGACTTGGCCTCGGGGCGGACTTGGACGAAGGCATTCAGATTGCCCTTGAAGTGTCCGAGCTTCTTGCCAGGCTCGTAGTGGTAGATGTCAGTTGTGACGTTGTCGAGGAAGCCAGAATCGTGAGAAACGATCAGACTGGTGATGTCTGTGTGTGTCTTGAGGTACTCCTCAAGCCAGGCGATGTTGGCAACGTCCAAGTGATTGGTAGGTTCGTCGAGGAGGAGAACATCGGCACGCTGCAGCATGGCACGCGCCAACGCAAGCTTCATCTTCCAACCGCCAGAAAGAGACCCAACCTTTTGGCTCTGTCGTCCCTCGGGCCCGGCAGTGAATCCAAATTCAGCCAGGACTTCCGAGATACGCTCCCGACCCTCGGAGGCGATAGTAGGGTCCTTGACCATGAAGTCCAAAATGTTGATCTCGGCATCCTCGCCCTGGTTGTGTTCCACGTAGCAAGTGCGCAAGACGTCCTGCGGCGGGAAACCCTCGAGCTTTCCGCCCGCGATGCTCTTCATCAGTGTCGACTTGCCGGCACCATTACGACCGCACAGGCCGTAGCGGTGGCCCTTGAGAAGTCTGAGGTTGGTGTGCGACAGGAGCAACATACCACCATAGGCAAGAGAGAAGTCGGCATTGACAATCTCGATTTCGCCATCGTCCTCCTTCTCTGGCACGCCGAACCTGCGCTGGTCCTCAGCCAGGAAGTACGCGTGGACTCCCGACGCGACGGCCTCGCTGGCATCGGCTGAGAGAAGGCTCTTGAAGTATGGCTCCACGCGAGCGGTAATTCTGTCAATGAATCTGTGGTTCACATCCTCGGCAACCATACCGGAGATGTATGGGGTGGCGGTCGCGTAGAATGCTGGGTCGTTGACCTTGAGCCCGGTCTTCTTGACCTCGGCATCAAGGATCTTGGCAACGTCTGCGGCGGAGATGCGTTCTTCGACTTCCTGGTCGCCGGCCATGGCCTTGTCCATGACCTGCAGCGCGCGGTTCGCGAGCTCACGGACCTCGGGCAGAGATGCGCGGTTTACGACGCTCTTGACACCGGGCTGGAGCTTTGGGAGGAAAGTTCGGGCCTCGATCGGATCATGGACCAGCTTCGTCAGGTTCTCGGTGATAACGACGGTCTGGCGGAGGACTTCCTGAGCCGTGGAGGGGTTGTTGAGACTTCGCTCGAGGAAGGGTGTGAGGAGTCCGAGCACGGGCGAAGTGACAATGGCGACAAAGGTCGTCTGAGAAAGCGCGTGGATGGCCTTCTGGAGACTCTGTGTCGACGGGTGGTGCATGGAATCGATCAGGAGAGGGATTCGGGGGATGACGTCGTCGTTGGTCAGGAGAGAAGTGAGAGACTCCATCGTGACGAGAGCCTGTTTCTCGACCTCGCTCTTCAGGTCGTGCATGTTGCCTTCGACGATGGGGAAGAGAGCAGCGAGTTTGTTCCCCATGGTTTCGCGCAGCGTGTCCTTGTCCTGCGCCTGCTCCTTGGTGCAGCCGACCTCCATCTTGGCCTTGTCAGCCATTCTCTGCATGAGCTTGAGAGCACCGACTGTGCCCTGCCACTTGCCCGTCTTCTTGGAGAGGTAGGTGATAAGAGCTGGGAGGAGGCCGACGACTAGTGCCTCGGGGCTGAGGTGGCCGAAGAGGGCGTCGAGGCCATATTGGGCAGCATCACGCACGACGGCACCCTTGTCGGCAAGGGCGTCGAGAGCGCAGGCGACGAGAGAGGCATCCTGCAGGAGGACAACCTCGCTGATGGGCTGGCGGGCTGGGAACCGTTCGAAGATGGCACCGAGACAGTTCTGGGCTGATTCGCGGCGGAGACCACTCTTCTTGTCGGCGGCAGCCTTCTTGACTTCGGCGAGAACTCCGTACTGCTGAAGGCCGTGGGCTCCGACGGTGTTGAGGAGGAGATCGCACAGCGCATACGATGCGTCAATGGAGGCGCCTGAAGTGCTGGCAGAGAACACATTGTTAAGAATAGCCGCAACGTCCTCGGGGGACGGCGGGGGAGGGGCCTCGCCCGACCGGGCCACCATGGTAGGCGGCGATACGGGGTGAGGCATCACGCAGAAGGTCGTCAGTCGAGGAGAGACAGCAGGGTGCAATGTCTACTCGGCGATGCCCTTCTGTCAACTTGGGGGGAGTTGAAGTAGAGGCTGAGGCGCAGGTCAGGAGAGATGCCCCTCCTCCTGTGGCCGCTGCGTGATAACCAATCTTTTTTTATCACTAGTCTGCCCCTCGGCTTATCAGCCAGATTTTCCTTTCCTTCTTTTTTTTCCTTCTTCTATGGGTCCCGCCCCCATCCGGATGGCGGCCCAATGCCCTCCGACCCACTTCCCGTCAAATCAGCATGGCGAGATTGGCCATGTGGAACTGCAGAGGATGGAAAACCTCCGTGCCCATACCTTTAGTACACAAGATCTGGATGTCAATGTGCAGAACTGCATGTTAGCTGATGTACTCGCCTGCAACTTTGGTTTAATTGTTCTCTAGCAACAACGCTGTCAATCAGGCTCTTTCACTCTTCATCCGTTTCGTGTTTTTGCGGGAATGGCAGGACTAGACGCCTTCATCAGTACCGGAAGAAGGGCACACCACGAAAAAAAAAAAAAAAAAAAAAAAACTGTAGACTGAGGTACTTGTGGAAGCACTATTCTTGGTCGCGCATTCCGAAGGGAAGAACAGAGTTGGCCCATCCCAAGCCTAAATTGACCGTACACCGAAAGGTCAGCCGCGTGAGAGATGACGAATTTAGAGCCTGCGAGCATGACGCTCGAGCTCCATGGGTTGGAAGAAAGTGTGGGTTTCGTCTTCGCAACTTCTACTCGGCAGGAGCATCACGCCCGCGTCGTTATATCTTAGTCAGGTCCCGTAAGCCTCCATCCTACGCATGCACCAGCGTGACACTGACACAACCTCGTTGTTCAAGGTGTGGCTTAGGGAGTGACGTAGGTATGGGATGGTATGGAGACGCAACGTGCACCAGCACCCCCCAGCAAAGTCAATGTGGTGATACGGGGTATACAGCCTGCCCTATCCTGA